CCCCCCCCCCCCCGGGACCCTAGATACTGCTTATTCAAGAGCCACTACTCCTATTCCTTTCTTATTCCACCAACTTTAGTGCATTTAATTGTAATCTAAAGAGATCATTTTCCTGTAAGTCTTTTTCCAGAGTGGTAAAAAAAAAACACATATAACTTTGCAAGTTACCTTTCCAGATCTCAGAAGCGATGTGTGGGGCCATTGGGGCAAGCATAATGGACAGGGTTGCCACAGCATCTTCATATTCCGCACAGTGCAAAATAACCCTTTCAGATGCTTGCTGCAGAAACAAATGGGATCAAGAAGAAAGGGTACTTTAAAATGTAATTACTCTTCAATATAGTAGTCACTTGTAAAGAAAAATGACAGAATAAAAGTTAAAACATACAAAGCTTTATCATGAATTTGACAATCGCCCTCATGTCCCCTGCTTGTTTCCACAAACACAGAGCTCACAAGGTACCTCAGCACGCCCTCTGATATGTTGTCACCAGTTGATCTCTTTTATCAACTTAGTTTACTTAGAAAAGATGAAGATCCATCCAGTACTGATGTTTCAACAGAACACATTTATTAACTGCAGATGGTTTCCGGAATAATTCATAAGCACATTTGTGACTTTGCCCCTCGTGGCCCCTGTTTGTCTTCCAAACACAGAGCACATGAAGGCAAACCAAACACCCCTGTGCGGACAGGAGGCAGAGGGCAGCAGAGGGGGTTTAGAAGCCCGGGAAGCCGAAAGCCACCCTGACCTCCACATCGGGTGCCAGCTTCCTGGGCTTCCAACGCCAACCCAACCGCTGTACCAGCTGCCAGCTCCCTGGGCTTCCAAAGCACTGGCACCGGGCGCGGTGGTCGGGGCGGTGTTGGAAGCCCGGGAGGCTGAGCCTCCCTTTTCCTAACAGTTGGGGTGAAGAAGCAGCCTCTTCACCACCAACAGTTTGAATTCCCCACCTTTTCCCCCTGCCTTTTTCTGTTCATAACTGGAAGCTCTGGCCGCAAGTCAAAGCAAAATTTTGTGGCCGGAGCTTTTTGTAACTCGAAATTTTCATAAGTAGGGATGTTTGTAAGTCAAGGCCCCACTGTATGAGATCAGTTCCTAAGAAACTTTCACCCTCCAGGCTTCCCTTTGCTACTGTATCCATTTCTGCTTCAATGGGTGATTCCTGGCCCCCTTGTGAGCGTGCAAGTACAAAAGCATTCCTAACATGCTTTATCAAATGTAAACCCTCTCTATAGGTCTTTATCAGTCATAGACCTCTCAGGGGTCAGTGGAATGGGATTCTCTCTAGCTTTAGTAGTACAATCCTTTAAAGTACCATCTTCCTTCAGTTCATCGATACAGGAAGGATCATTAGGGGTTTTCAAAATAACTTCATCAGCCATTTTGGTTACCTCATGGTTCTTTTCTAACTTGGGGCATTCCTGGATAGATTCAGAGGTTAGGGAATCCATTTTTCCTTCAGGGATTGTTAACTGCTCCCTCAGGGAGCAGTTACTTCACAAGCACTCTGCACATGCTTAGTGAGATCTAGCCCAATTAAACAAGGTGCTGGAATCTGATCAGAGATTGCTACATCCCAAATTCCAACCCAGTCTCTATAGTTTATTTTCTCTTTAGCCATGAGTAAAGTCACTGGAGTAGAACTTAATCCCTTGATGGTAACAGTCTGGTTTGGGAGAATTTGTTCCTTAGGAATCACCTCAGGATGACACAGGGTTATGTTAGAACAAGTATCAACCACTCCTACACAAGACATTTCATTAATAAGAATCCTCTCACCAGGGTTATGTATTGAAATATCTTCTGCCTTTACTAGAAAACAATGAACGACCTGGGCTAGTGGTAGATCAGAATTTTCTGTAGTGCCAGTTGCCATGGAGACAGAACTACCATTGTTACAGCCTCCCTCTGTGGCCTCAACTGTTTTTAAACAGTACACCTTCTTGGTCTGAGTATCATCCCTCCCATTCCTAAGTTTAGTTTCCATTCAATTGAATTGTAAGTGACCAAACTCTCCACAGTTATAACATTTGTAAGACCGTATCTCATTCTGAGGAGATATGTTCAACTTTACCTTTTTCTCAGGGTTCATTTGGGTCTGAGAACTAGGCCATGCTAATTTAGGTGAAGTACTACCCTGGCCTCCTTTTCCTGTTGTTTTGCTGAGGTAATTTTTATTAAAGGGTTTCTTATTGTCGTCCTAGTTCTGCTTGTTAAAATTTACCTCAGAGAACTTGGGGTTTTGGAATTCACTAATATGGTCTGCATGTTCTCCTGCCTCTAATACAATTTTAGGATTTTTGTCTCAAACACAATTCCCCAGACAAAATAGAGTAAAATTGCTCTAACCCAATCACACTTTTCATCTGTTTTAGAGAAGTGACATTTTCACATTCCATCCATTTCTCCAGACATTGAACTAATTTAGCCTCCAACTGGGAATAAGATTCCTCAGGCTTTTTGGTAAGAGAACGAAATTTTCACCTCAAATGTTCTGCATTGATACCAAATCTAGAATAAACCATTTTTCTATACGCCTCAAAATCTCTGGCCTGCTCTAGAGGCATCTGTAAATACAACTCAGCTAAATCTCCACTTATTTGGGATCTTAGCACTATCATCCTTTCTTCATCCCTGATATTAAAGTCCCAGCAAGCACGTTCAAAGGAAATGAGAAAGATTCTGGGTGGTCACCTTTTCTATATAGGGAAATTTCTTTAGATCAATTTCTGAGAGATTTCCCTCACTAGCGCTGTTATTATTGTTGTTATTTTGAGAAGCCAATTCCAATTGTTTCATCTGTATTTGAAATTCCATCACTTTTTGTCTTAATTCCATTTGTCTATTTTCTTGCTCAAATGCCATTTGTTTGGCCTCTTGCTCAGCTTTTTCTCTCATCTCTAGCTCCCTGAGCTCTAGATCCTTAGCTTTCTCTTCAGTTCTGGCTTTTTCTCTCTCCAATTCTAACTGATTTCTCATAGCTAGCTCCTTCAATTT